GGTACGTTTGTTAACTCTGATCACAACACTCATCCCTAAGGTAGAAGGGAAATGTTTATTTAAGGTGTCATGACAAAAACAGGAATATTACCCTGATTGTGTATGTGTGTGTGTGTATTTAGTGTGCAGACTTATGTGATAAGGACATCAGGACATTTATCCTTGGGTTCTAAAAGTGAGGACTCTGACTGTGAGCCTCCTGCCACTACTGCAGTGGATGATGACACCACGGACATCCAGCTAAGTCCATTTTCCGCACTCCCACCATCATGTGTGATCATGGTTCGGCCTGCCACAGCCGAGAACACACTGGAGCTTGAGGATGAGGAGAGTCTAGATAGGTGAGATGACCTCCTCTTATTATGACACTAATTTCTCAAACAGGAAAAATGGTTGTTTGGCTGAAATGGGAGCAGATTGAGAGTGTGTTTATCTCTGTGTGATGTTTACATGATTCTTTTAAGATGTCACGATGTTAACAAGAACAATATTCTAAATATGTGTGTGTATTTAGTTCGCAGGCTGAGCTATCTTCAGTGACAGTCGCCAGAAGGGTGACAATGGATTGGACATCTGAGGACTCCTCCACATTGGGTAAGAATCTGTCACCTCCTCTCGTGTCTGAATTGTTGTTTATTTGTAGATCGGTTGATGTATAACATTTAATGTCCTTTAAAACTTCAGACGACATTGGCATCGAGACAAAGACGACGTCGAAGAAGAAAGGCGCCTTCCGACGCATCTTCTCTTGGATGAAGAAGACCTTCGGCTCCTGCTTAATCAGTGTTGTCGACGAATGAAAGGATCACTCCCAGTGACGTCCTCACCCATCCATTGATCTGCTATAGCTGGACCTGTGTCGACATGGATGAGGAAGGCTAAAAATGAAGCTCTGAGAAAGGTTTTTTTAGCATGATTTCTGAGCCTCTTAGGAGTGGTGCTATAAAAACCCTCACAGATCGTCACTCATCGGGCAGCACGGTGGCTCAGTGGTTAGCACTGTAGCCTCACAGCAGAAGGTCCTGGCTTTGAACCTTGGCCCTCTGTCTGTGTGGAGTTTGTATGTTCTCCCCGTGTCTGCGTGGGTTTCCTCCAGGTGCTCTGGTTTCCTCCCACACTCCAAAGACATGCAGCTCAGGTTAATTGGACATTCTAAATTGCCACCCAGTGAAACCCTCCCTCATCCGTTCATTGTATACAAATGAAGAAGATCTCTGCAAGTGACATCCTCACTCATCCATTCATCTGCTCCAGCTGGACCTCTGCTGACAAGGACGAGGATGGCAAAAGTGAAGCTCTGTGAAGGTTTTTTTAGCATGATTTCTGAGCCTCTCAGGAGTTGTGCTATAAAAACCCTCACAGATCGACACTCATCGGGCAGCACGGTGGCTCAGTGGTTAGCACTGTAGCCTCACAGAGCTTTGAACCTTGGCCCTCTGTCTGTGTGGAGTTTGTATGTTCTCTCCGTGTCTGCGTGGGTTTCCTCCAGGTGTTCTGGTTTCCTCCCACACTCCAAAGACATGCAGCTTAGGTTAATTGGACATTCTAAATTGCCACCAATCTGGTTTAAGGAAAACATTTATTAACAATAAACCATGAAATTAAATTACAGAAAATGTATTAATGACTTTTATTAAGTAATACCAACAATATTTAATATTTTCCTCAGTGTTGGTCTCAGGTTCAGTGTGTAAAGCAACACCTTTATAGTAATGATTCATCAAATCACTGTAATATGAAATGTGTAATATGAAATGTGTCACTCATAGAGACAAATGCACAGAGAATTATCACTCTCTCAGGGCTTTCAACAACCTCATTTGAAGCCGGAACAGGGAGTGAAAAAGCTCTAAAAACAGACTGTACACTACCCGCTCAGCACCAAATACCAGACAATGTTGGAGACTACCGGGTAACAGTGCAGACCTACCAACATGTACACCTTTTGCTACACTGGTGCGACTTAAAGTACGTAAAAAGCTACTGATGCCTTGTGAGTCTGACCAGTTTTGCAGTACTGAAGTGTAACAGCAAGAGGCAGAGTAGGGGTGGGTCATGACTTAAAAATATTCCGTCCTGTGAGGACCAGTGTTGGGCAAGTTACTGAAAATTAGTTGAAGTTTTTTTTTTTTTTTTTTTTTGGATGTTTTCTGAAGCCTAGAAGGTATTAAAATAAAATAAGATATCTGAGCCTTTATACTTCTGACCCTCACCATGGTCATATAGACCATATTCATTATTATTCAAACACAGAGCACAGAGACAGCTGTGTAACTGGACAGCAAAGGGGATGAAACAGACATCAGGATATATTTTACTGCAGTCAAGTATCACATTTTTTTTTTCAACTGTGTCTATTTTTAAATAAAACCAGGAAGCCTTGTTTAGTCAGGTGACTGTACAATGCCTGTATTGGGCAGATACTTACCTAACCAGCCAGGTGTGTGTTCAGTGTCCAACGGTGATAATTTAATTTAAGATCCAGATGTTCTATAGGATTTTACTGGGTGCCAAATTATCCAAAGAGGTATGTATGCTCCTCTCCTAAACAACAGATCCATTAAAACTGGTAAAAACACAGAATAAAGCAGTTTCATGTTAAGAAGCAATGTTTCTCCGATGCTGTTAGGCAGAAAATGGACAAAGGAGGGCCTACCAGTCGAGCTGCTTTTTCTCTGATAAAGATCCAGGTGTTCTGGAGCTTTTTACCAGGAAGTGTTAAATATTATAGCTTCAAACCGGTGAGTTATAAAATAATTCTAGGTCTTAGCCCCCGAGTCATGACCTATTCTGGATTCTAAATGATGAATTAGGACCAGAGGTGAGTTTGAATGCTTGAAAAAACCCTTAATCTATATTAATCTATATTCATAGAAGTAAAAAAATAATGTAGAAATAGAAATGAATGCAATGCTGAAAATGCAACCATTGATGTTTCCCTTATTAATAATGTTCATCCTTCACATCGCCACTGCGGTCAAATAATGTCACTGAGGGTGAACAATGCTCAGAATGCTAACAAGAGGGATCCACAGTGTTTAGAAAACCTTGTTAAATATTGATGCTGAGGATGATTAAAATTTCATATTGACAGGGATGGGCTGTGCTAAAACAGACCAGTGGGTGGCTGCTGAAGGTGTGACTGTTGACTTAGCATTACTTATTGATCGTCACCGACTGACTGTGATTTATATTTTATATAAATAACACTAATAATGAAATAACAATGTATGTCTCTATATATCTAGATTATATAATTTTGTCATCTGTCATTTTTTTTTTTATTGTGAACCTATTTATGATGATGTGAAGTACTTAAATTTATCAGATACTTATGTTACATGAATGTTAGTATATAAACATTTTCTTTGCACATTTTGTTAATTAGAACCCTCTCTCTCTAATAAGTAACAGTCCAGTGACTGAAGCTCTCATCACACCTCCTTTAACTAGAAGGAAGGAAATAAATTGGTGCTTGTTAAGAGTAGTGTGACCGACTGAAGAGACACAGCAGACAGATGTTTTCCCTTGAGATCTGTCTGTCTCTATGTCTGTCTGTCTGTCTCTCTCTCTCTCTGTAACCCATTCTCTGCCCCCATTACCCTCCCTCACTACCCTTTCACTGACAATTAGCACAGGGCCATGACTTCATCTACTAATGGTTATGAGAGGAGCTGACAGGACAGCAGACTGAGGCGTATGCAATATGGATGGAAGCCTTCTGCCTGTCTGACTGTGTTTCTGTCTCTTTGTCTGAATTGTCTTACTCAGTCCTTTTGTCAGGTCACAGTTGTGGCACATAAGCATTTTTCAGAAGAAAGACGGCCTCTAACTCTGAAGGCATAATAAAAGGTGAGTTTAAGGTCAGAGTCAGGAACCTAAGACTGTGGGTCTATAGGGAGCCAAAGTCCTCATACATAATAAATCCCATCTAGCTGCTAGCTACTGGGCCGGCACGTGCGAATATATCGGCAGTCGACGGTTGTTGGACTGGTGCTGCCCAATAGCCCAACCCTGACACATAAAAGACAAAGTTAGTGAGAGAGAGAAAGATGGGGGAGCATTTAGCAGCTGCAGTTGGTGGATATTGGACTAAAATTTGCCAGCTGGGGGTCTAGCTCCAAATGGATGCTAATGTTGCTCCATGTGTGCGGGTTGTGTTAGTAATCAAATGTTTGCTATCACATTCACCATATCAACCTTTACAAGGATATAGTGTCTGTGTTGTTTTCACAGTCTGTGGGATACATCAATTAATGCAGGTCTAAGTCATTTTTTCATTATAACGTCAATGTGAATTCAGAATACCTCTAAAGCAATACAGCTGTGATGTCTGGAATTAATGTGGTAATTATTTCATTTTACTTCTACTACTAAAAATGGTACCGTTGATACATAAAAATGGAAATGCTTTTAGAACCTTTAGCATATGGAAAGCCCTACAATCCTTTTTGAGTTCCTGGTTTCATTTCAGATAATGTAACAAAGTCCAAGAGCCCTCTGTCTCAGCCAATAAAGGAGCTGGGGCCATGCAATCAAAACTAATTAGATTCTATTTGTGGCCACATTGCTTTGCCTCTACAATACTGCAATCTTGTTTCATTCATTCTGCCTGCCTGTGTGTGTTTGGTTGATTGACATACAAGAGAGACCGGGGGGGGGAGCGACTGATGGAATGGCTGAGGAAAAAAGCAGGGGGGAACAAACAGACAGCACTTGTATGTGTGTGCATGTGTGTGAATTGATTTTCAATAGCACTGACAGTGCTCGTGTGTATGGGAGTGGTGCCCAAAGAGCATTAGACTGTTCAGCTGTAACAGACCTCCAGCTCTAGCTGCACACTAGTAAACCAAGCTGTGATCAACCATGAAAATACCCAAACAGATATAAATACAACCATGGCTTTAACTTGAGGTTTGTTGAGAGAGAATGAATATTTTGACATACCAAGTTTTATCACTGCTTTAAGGTAGGGGACAAAAAGTAAACGTAAGACAAGAATAGATAGATCATATATTTCAAACAGGATAAAGCAGCTGTAATGTGGTGTAAACATTAATTTAACAGAAACAGACAAATCAGAAAAAAAATCCATAAAATGGTTACAGCTATAAATACAGTAGTGGTCAATACCTTAAATCTGCCTCGAGCAGCATTTTTTAATTTGTTTGAAATGGTGGAGTTTTTCAACCATTATAAAGGATCATAGGTATATAGGTACCTCTGTCTTTCCTTTACGTCTCACAATATGAGTCAATACCAGGGAGCTTGCTTCCTAATGAACCTATCGGCTGAGATCTTAATCCAGTCTCCTCAGCACTCTTCAGCTCAGCGATGTGGTGAAAAGTGGGTGACACGGCCTCTGAGGTTATTTGCCATTTTCAGATTGTATTGATTGTTTGTGTGGACGCAGTAAGGACGATGAGAAGAGGTTGTGAAAGAGAATTGATCTTTATCAGGAGAGGAAGAAACAGGGCAGAAGCTATGGTCTTCATCCCTTCGAAACAATGTTTTCTAAGACAGCGGCTGAATAAATTATGCTTACTCTTTAAACGTAGATTCACACTGCTGTGACTCAGTTAATTTTACTTTATTTCCTACAGTGAAGATTGCATATGATGTGCAGCCCTGCCTTTTTTCAAGACCTTTCAAATAAACACATTAGTTTCCTTGACAGTGCTAACGCTGTATTGACACAATACTTTTAATGTAATGAAAGTCATAATTTATTGCTTGTGAAACATTCGGAATCAATGACAGAAAGCTGCTACTGGTACTCAGTGGGTATTTGTGGCCTCTAGTGGTCTTTGCTGCCCTCTAGGCCAAATTGTCAACACCTGCAGTACAGTACAAAGTATTTACAGAACATTTTCCTTTGTTCATTTTCATTGAGTTAAAACTTGCTTGAGAATTGTATTTTAACACTACGTCCTACTATAAACCATAGGTAATCACAAAAGTGAAACCGGATTAGGTTTCTGTCATCAAGGAGGCCCACTGGAAATGAAGCTAATTTCTTTTAACAATGTGAAACCTTAGAAGGGTGAGATGGTCTGTTGGTTAAAATTGGAGCTGAACGAGAAATGTGAGTTAAAAAATGATGTGTTCAGAAGCATCCACATCCCTGAAAAACACTCAATCGACCTTTTCCACAGCCATTTTGACATAAAATAGTAGGATAAACACAGGCGCTACCAATGATTTATTTAGTGTGATTGGTAACCTGTGTTTACCCTACACTTTAATGTAAAAATGGCTGCTGTAAAAAAGGTCTATTGATACCAGCTGTACAAAAGTCAGTTTGTAACAATGTTAGTGCATCATGTAATCTAGTGGATGTTTAATTAGGCTTGTTACTGTTAAAACTGCAGATGGTGCTGTAGTGCATGTTAAAACTTTACAATTAGGGTACAGTACAGCGTGAAATCAGCTCATGTGCTTGGGTTTTAAACTGGTAATAAATAATGATTTGAAATTGAAATGTGTTTTTAAACTGAAACCAATCTCTACATCTCTCTGTCTTCCTGGGTCACAAAAGTTGGGTATACTCAGTAATTAGGGCTCATATTTTCTTTCTTCCACATCCTCCAGCTTCTTCCTCTCAGTTTGGCACTTATTCAGGCAGTCCCCACACAGGAAGCTCTCCTTGACCAGGTAAAGCCTCTCTGTTATCGCGATTGACTCATGGCTGGGTGACTGCTCAGAGATGATGGGGTTCCTGTCCAGGTTGACCTTCTCCAGCTTGTCCAGCCTCGTGAGGCAGCCGGGGACGCGGGTGAATCGGTTGTCAGAGAGGCCGATGTGGCGGAGCTCCTTCAGTGCACCAATGGAGGCAGGGAGAGCGTCCAGATGGTTGAGACCGAGGTTGAGCGTGTGGAGTTTCTTCAGCAGGCCGATCTCACTGGGAAGGCTCGTCAGACGGTTGTTACACAGGTTCAAGAGCATCAGGTTCTGGAGACGGCCGATAGTCGCAGGGATCTGCTCCAGCTGCAATAAAAACATATTCTGTAATATAACATATGATACATACTACAATTTCAAATTAAATTTTGTCCTGGAATTGTAATCTCCTTTTTCTTATATTTTTCTTAATGCTCTTTTTTTTATGTATTGTAAGAGAACAGAAAATGCCCTGTATAAAAAGAAATGTTTGACACAGTGGCAACCAACCAGACACTTATCCATTAAAAAACTGAATTTTGGCAGCTAAACTCGCATCAAACACCTTATCATCCAATCCAATCCAATCCAACTTTATTTGTTAAGCACTCTAAAACAACCAAAGTTGACCAAAGTGCTGTACAGGAGAATAAATAAGACATCATAAATAAAAGACATAACAGCTCATGGACACGGTAACACAACAAAGCTCCATTACCAACTGCACAACTGCCCCCGGGGCACCAGACCCTCAGTGGGCCCGAAGGCCCCTCCAGGTTCACCGTGTGTTGTTTGGGTTAATTTATTGTGTACACCACAAATAGCACAATACGAACAGAAATCACAGGGCCCTTAAAGTGACTCCGGCATTATTAGAGATTTTGAGGCCCCATCTTGTACAGAGGCCATGAGTTACATTTTTATTTATTTACTATATTATTTCAGTTTATCTTGTTCTTATATGGACACACAGTATAGTCAATATTTATAACTGACTATATGTCCATAAAACACACACACTACAAAGAAGAAACATGGTCAATATAGCCAACAGTTTGCCCTGCAGCCCTCTAGAGGATTAATCCAGCCCTGCTTAAAACATACAGTGCCACAAACAGTGAACATACAAATATAAAAAGATAAATCACAGGACCAGCAAAGGGCTCAAGAAGCCAGTTCCAGTGCACTAGACTGAGTAAAAAAATCATTTTTGAAACATATGGTACAAAGTAAAACAGTGTCTGAAAAATGAAACCACATTAGAAAGTTTGTCACTACTGAAAGTGAAGATAAAACACAATAAGGCATTTAAGAGTCATCAACATGCATGGTAAAAACACATGTTTTTCAAACTCACAACCTCAGTAAAGCTTTTGGGGCTGAGCAGAGATAACCCTGATGACATCCTTTGAGTCATTTTCTCAGATCTGCCAAAGCTCTTTCAGAGCCTCAGAATATGTAGAGAGAGAATATCTCTAAGCTAACAAAGACATTAGGTCAAATAAACCAAAGGCGCTTGTTGAAGAATCTTTTCCTCAATTTTCCATCATACTCACATAGTTGCTGTGCAGATCCAAAACACAGATGCTGATGAATTGTTCAATAAAGTCCGGGACCTTTCTGATCATGTTCCTGCTCAGGTCCAGTTCATCCATGTCACACAGCTTCTGGATGCACTTTGGCACGGTGGAGATCTCCTTGAAACTGAGGTCCAGACTGCGTTTCCCATCCAGCGCCAACTGCACGCAGTTCTGAGCCATTTTCAAGGTGATTGTCTTACCTTTAGCCTGTTTGGTTTTCTTTCCCTTGGCCATTCTGCTGCAGGGAGATACAGGACAGTGACGAGGTCTGTAGTTAACAGTAATCAATAATGCGCCGTGACCGAGGAGTTGACAGTAGAACCGGCCAGCAAGATTATGTTACCCAACACAGTCCAGCCAGCTGAGTCAAGTTTTACCTTTCTCCCGAGATAAAATATCCGTAACATTATCACCATTGTTCCATGACAAAGCACATCAGCTAACACTTTGCCGGTGCTTTATTCTAGTGTGTTTACAATTTGTAATCAGTGTACAGAACTGTAGAAAAACAACACTGTGCTAATTTAAGGACACATAGTGTTGTACCTACTGCATCCTAACAACATTCTTACCAGCATTAATGAGTCCACGTCCTTTGATCCGACACACTGAATACCAGGAAAGGAGAGGAGACTGAAGGGAATAAGACTCCACAGACACGTTGTGCTGTTTCAGTGTCACTTGACTCCCTCTTTCTCCAGGATAATAATTATACAAGATGTCAGAGTAGAGAGTTGTAAATAACGCTAAGCCTGCCAAATCCGATTTCTGTAGTTAGACAAGAAAAGAGTTGACAAGTTGTGCAGTGGCTGTTTGTCAGACAGATTGCAGCGCCAGCCTGGACTCAGACATGGGATTTGTTTTCTTTTGTTCCCAGGCAACTGCTGTTTGCTCTCAGTGGACTTTATGGCTGTGAGCAGCTACAGTGGGACACTTTGTTATTGGGTGGAAGAAATTTTAAAAGATTACAGTAACTGTTTCTAGGATTATTCTGTTTCAAATAAAAATCACATATGACAGGGTATATATGTTGTACACGGATTGTATGAGGAAGTGAAGGATGTGATTTTCCTCAATGGCCACTGAAAAAGAGCAGAGTGACTGATCTGTTCATCACATATGGGATTTTGATGAGCTTCACTGGAAAAAATATCTGTGGAAAACACCAACATAGTCCAAAAGACTGATAAGAGTAAAATTTGGCAGTGGATTTTGTATCCTGGTTATTTATTTATTTACTTTTTCTTCTTCCAAACCTCACTGCAAAACATTAACTATTCCAGCTCCGCTCCAATATTCAAATCTCCATGTTAACGTTAAAGGTCCAAAGAAGGCTGAGCTGTATTAAAATTCATTGCCAAATGCCACTGAAGTCAGCTGTTCGTATTAGGCGGACCAATTTTAAAATGTTATTATTAAAATAAAATTCTATAAAATTATAATTACTTTTATTACTTTGATGATTAATTGAAAGAGATATTGCAGTATACATTCTAGTGGTTCATTTATTGTAACAGTAATGTGCTATAAACATCTCTAAAACCATTTTCCAAACAAGGATTTATTTAATATTTTTTATTTTATTATATACCTTAAATGTAAATTGGCTGTCTTTGCTGCAGCCAGTGCAGTCTTCATAGATTGGTTCTATATATGCTTCCTATTAGAAATGCATTTCAATAAAAAAAAACTCACACTACAGCTACTACTGCACAGGCCATTCCTTGTTTTATGTGTAAGATTTTATGTATTATTGTGCTCTGATAATATCCCAAATATCCTACATGAATTATCATGAAATGTCAAAAAAAAATTGCGAAATGCACATTGAAAAAAAATACATGGTATATAAATATAATTAAACTAAACAGTGCTGAACCTTTTACCCAAGCTGTGATATGATACAGCAGTCACATGGCTACATTGATCTCTCTCTCTCTCTCTCTCTCTCTCTCTCTCTCTCCTACACACACACACACACACACACTCACATGCATGCACTCACACAGACTTCTGTCAGTAGTAATGTATCACATACTGGAGTTGCACCTCAGACATTACACAGCTGTGACCTAGTCTACACTTACCCTGATGCATTTCATATGATGCACTTTCCCCTGATGTGAATGCCACGCAGTATCTCCTTTCAGCCAGTAGGTGGTGCTGTCCTAGTATAAATCAAAGTTAGTTATGACATTCACTCTACCTTGAAGTCAGTTCAGTTCCCAGTCAGACACTGCAAGGTGAAACATCTCTGAAATTAGGTTTCTTACTGTTGTTTAGGAAAATTAGAAACCCACTGTGTGGATTATAAATTAAACCGATGAATTGGGATGTTTGTGATGTGAAACAGTGCTGGCAGTCATATAACCAAGTAATTCAAGTTATGCTGCTCTTGTGAACGTTTTAAACTGTCACCTTTGAGTGTTTCCAGACTTACCAGGAAGTGGTATCAGGTGCATGATGTCAAGATAAAAAGACGCAGACTGTTTGATAAAGACCTAAAGAGATGTTGAGTTTAAAAGATGAAATAAATTGAAAGAAGATTAGATAAATGTCAATATTTCATTTAAAGGTCAACACCGACTTTGTAACTGTATTGTAGCTTGAAAATATTGTCAGAATAATTTCATTATCAACTAATCTGGTTGCTTTAAAGAACTACAAATAGGTATTTCTCATGAAAGACACTTAAATATGTCACAGAGTAGGAAAAGCACATGTGTAAATTCAAAAATAATTTAGCTGGCAGCTAATGCATACAGATGTGAGTACAGTACAGTACCTGATTAATTAGGTATTCTAACCAAGAATGAGGCTAACTAATTATTCAACCCTAGTCAAATGTTTTGGCCTGCATGCTAACCTATGGAGCCACAGAAAGGGATATCATATGCATGTAAACACACCATAGCAGTAAATATCAGGAATCCCACAGAGAGACAGAAATCTGCTTGGGTTAGAGGTTAGATTCCACCGTGCCTGTCAGAGCAAAAGCAGCCGTGCTATTGCAGAGTGCGGAAAAAGTAGCCACAAAATGCCATATTTTCGGTAATGTTAAACTCCAGACAAACCCAAGCCTTTTTTTTAACTTCCTTTTTCTTTTTGCCCAAGTCTTCCACCCAGACCTCCCCATCTGTTGCTGTTGGATTTCCTCTTATTTATTTATTTGTAATTATCCCGAATCAGCAGGCGACACTATAATATGGTGTGTAAGCCTGAGTAATTTCCCCTCAGCAGTGTGAAATACAGGCCAGCAGATAGGCAGGTCACACTGGAGGAAATGGTGCTGACCTAATTGAGTGAGGTAGCGCACACAGCAGTTCAGATTACATCTAATGATTCATAATGTGAGTGTGTGTGTGTGTGTGTTTGTGTGATTCAGGAGCGTGACATAGGCTGCGACAGACGGAGGCAAAGAAAGAAAGAAAAACCTTTTTAACTTTTTTTTTTACATAACATTAAACATTTGACAACAACCCACTGCTATCCATCACATACATTAACTAGCATTTTAATAATAGGTGTACTAGCAGACAAGACACAAACTAGAGTTAGCTAGGGTATGCTACTGTAGCTAACAAGCTAAGCAACACTTATACAGAGTTAACTAGGGTTTGATAGAGCTAACAAGCTAAATAACAATTACTCTGTTAGCTAGGGTATGCTACTGTAGTTACCCTACAAAATAGCACTTATACAGGGTTAGCTATTGTTTGCTATAGCTAACAAGCTAAATAACAATTACTCGGTTAGCTAGGGTTTGTTACTGTAGCTAACAAGCAAACAACACTTATACAGGGTTAGCTATCGTTTGCTATACAACAGACAAAATACCAAATACTCTGTTAGCTAGGGTTTGTTACTCATAACACTTTATTAAATGGAGATTGGCTCTAACAGGATGCGTGTTTCTGTGACTTCGCCAATTTTAAACCTCCAAAAAGGTATGCTAATGACGGAGATTCAAACATACAGCAACAAAGATATAGATGTAATAATAGATAATAATAACAAAGACAGACCGAGCACTGACGTCATGTATGTTATCATCCTTGTATTTCATTTACTAACTTGCCAGCAAGGATTTCCTTTGTTTCACTCACTCATTTCCTTCCTTCATGTCTTCTTTCATAGCTGCTTGACAGCATTTTCAAGCACTTTGCTGCTGGTCACCACCATGGTTTATACACAAACATATCATCCAAGTGTCTTGTTACTGTTACTTATTTGTACAGATACATTCATATATATTTGTATATATTATATACATATATATATATGATTTGGGAGGACTTTGTATTGCCTTTAATTGGAAGTGACAGTTAGTATAGACTTGGGTGACAGGAAAGGGGGGAGAGAAAGGGGACGACACACAGCAAAGGGCCCCAGGTCGGACTAAACCCATGGGTGCTACAGCAAGGACTCAGACCCGGCTCCAGCAGGTGGGTCACCAGGGCGCCCTATACAGTCATAATTATTGTCCCTAAGGTTTCCAGCTGTCAGTTGAGCCTGTTTTAGTTGATGTTTTATTTAATTATTTATTTATTTTGACGTTTATCTGATTTAACCTCATGACTTTGTGAATAATACTGTTTACCTGTGTACATATTACTAGATTAGATTAGATTAGATGGATACTTTATTCATCACCAAGAGGAAATTCTGTTTCTTTTAAAACTTTATGTACCTTGTAAAAGTTGACTTTGCATCAGCTCAATCCACATACAGTCTTCTTCACACGTGGGAGCTGTCCACTGTTTTTGGTCTTTTATTAGTGACTATTATTGCGCAACTCCACAATGACTCCAAACTTACTTTACCTTCCTCTGCAGTTTCTGGTTCCCTCTGTTAATAAAAAAGATTCCATCGAAGCAGTTTAAAAGGGAAATAAGAGCATGACACCAGAACAAAACTGAGAAGTGATCAGTTACAATTTAACACCATGTATGGCATGTGATCCTTTTCATGCAGGAAACCTTAGGGACATTAATAATGAATGTATAGGGCGCTCTGGTGTCTAACCTGGTGGAGCTGGCGCCCTGTATGCCGGGTCTGAGTCCTTGCTGCAGCACCCATTGGTTTAGTCTGACCTGTGGCCCTTTACTGTGTGTCGTGCCCTTTCTCTCCCCCCTTTCCTGTCACTCTATACTAACTGTTACTTCCCGTTTAGTCCTGGTGGATTCATGCAAAGGCCATTAGGAGGACTAGAACGAGGCAGAGGAGTTGGATTTTTTCACAGATTACCTGTCTCATGCTCTATTGTTGGGACACAGTGACTTGACTTTATAAAAGTTACCTACTGCAGCTTTAACCGGCAACACTGGGTTACTTTGTGATTCTTCCTTTCCATCATGCTTTCTGCATACTTTGTCTTCTTTTATGAACTATTGTTCAGGCCTTCAAAACAAATCCAAACAAGAGTAAAGCTGCTTTTGTGCAGAGATGAGTGATAGCTTGTTGGACATGTTTAGGAAAGCTGGCACCGCGGGGGCAGAGGCATTCATGTGTTTATCTAAGCTCTGAATGGATGTGGCTTTCCTTTCCTCTAACTATGTGACTTGTCTTTGCTTCAGGGCTGCAAATCCAAAGCGCTCCTTTCCTTTCTGTCAATGTTTGTCTACGTTTCTTTCAGGAAAGCTCAACATGGACTTGACATAGGCGTTTGAGAAAGTGTTTTTGGGTGCGTGAGTCAATTAGTCATGTGGTAGTTGTTTGTATATGATGGATATAATGACTGGGTCAGGATTAGTTTGTTGGCACTGTGTATACAGAAATGTCTTTGACTGTCTCAGAGCCTAAATTATAAGATATAAAGTCATCAGTCATGAATGTTCCTAATTGTTTCCGCTAACTTGCCAGAGGAAATTAGTTCAGCGCACCGTGTGAACATAAAACTAAAAACAAATTTCTATAAACCTGAATATATTATTTGCATCTACTGTTCACTCGGTTTGCAGTAGCATCTTGTTTCCTGACTTCCCATTGTATTTGCTCTAGTTATGAATTGATCTTCTCTCCCTCAGTGTAGTTTACTTTTTTAAATCATGCAAGAAAACAGTCATCCTTTTTTATTTACATTTATTTTTATTTTATTAGTAGGTTGGTGTTTTTAATTTGTGCATAAAAAAACCCTGTAAATGGCGAATATTAGAAAAATTATCAAACTCAAACTTTGCAAAAGCCTTTTAGGTGGAAAACCTGTGAAGTAAAGCCAATGTGAAGTGTCTTAAACCTGCATTCCATTTAATAGCCAGCAGGGGGCAGCTCCATGGGCTGTAATATAAACCGAAACATGGCAGTCTTATGTAAAAGTTACCCGACTTCTCACTTATTTATTAGCTCAGTAAACAGTTTCCTATGAGTTTATGGTCTCAGTTGCTAGTTTCAAGTTCTTCTGATGTTCACCTCTAAATTATGGTTATATTTATAGATAATAATAAATTGAATAAATCATGAGTACATGAAGCATGTGATTTAAACATCTACTAAGGCTGAGAGACAAAAAAGGCTGGCTAATCATCAGATCTGTTTGGAGGATAAGGAGACTGTAACGTTCCTCAAATTAACCCATGAAACATAAATACCATTTTTCCATTGTGCGTTCTACATTGTTTTCCACAGTTTTCTTACTCTAATAATCCAAACTTAAATAACAGTTTCTTTCACAGAAATAAATGACATGCTGAGATATAGGCCAACTGGATGTATATATTTTTAAAGTTTTCTTACTCCCCTTACAATCAAGAAGGCCTCTCAACCCTGTGTTAAGCTTTGGCGACCACTAGCAGGAATTGGAACACAGAAAAACACAGGGATCCCTCATCCTGACTTCATCGCTTTGCACCCACACGACTGTCCTCACTGACTGTTAACAATCTTAAAAGCCATTATAGTATGATGTCATCATTTTGGGAATCCAAAGGAGTGAAAGGCAGCCAGCCGGTGAGCCTGAGACAAGCTGTTTCTCATTAGTGCTGCTTGGCCTGCACTCCCATACAACAGCAATAGCTCTGATAGATGACAGTCGCCCTTGCTGTAGACTAATAAATCTTGTAGTTACTGTGTGTCTGTCAAACAAATCCAGTTGTGAGACAAATAGGAAAAAGCGGTTGGATTCAAAACAATAAGTGCAGATACCGTCATCCACCACTATTCTTGATAAAGGCCGAGATATTAACAGTTTAGCAGAAATGCAAAGGGGCAAACTGTCTTTTCCTTCCCCTTCCAGAACTTTTTTTTGTGTATTATCATCCAGTAACAGATAGGGGCTGTCGTCTTTGGTGACTCATACAATATACTACAAATAGTTGCACGGGCCAGATGATGGCTTCCTTTAAAGCAGCAGTTTGTTTCTCAGCAGGAGTCCTACACTCTTCCTGTGTTTTCCATTGTGTTTTGAAGAAGATCAAACAACCGCAAACCCACTAAGTTCAGAGGCTCATGGTCAACATCCAAGTGGGCCTGGTTGAAGACCTTAACTGTATGGTTTGTGTGGACATGGCCTTTGAGTAGTCGTGTATGCTTACAGAAGGGATAAAAGAGGAAGAGGTCACTCTTCCAACATGGACTGACCATTCAACACTGGACACTAGATCCGAGTTACTTACAGGACATCCAGTTCCGAGCCTTAATCGTATTCCTACTTCCTGTGTTTTCCCCTTGCTGAAGTCTTTCATTATAACTTCTTTTTTGCCTCGGGGCCAGTGTAGCTATGCATTACTGTAACCACACAGGATGTGTTGGTTGTAGACTGTGTTTACTATGCATTGTATTTCTATGGACTGAGATGATGGCATGCATGGGTTAGAAGGAGTACAGACACACGCAACGGATTCAGCTTTAACAATAGGTTTTGTTTGGCTGTTTGACTGGTGACATCAGTTGTTCAGTTGAGCCTGCAAAGGCTGCTGTTTTGTGCTCAGACAGGAAACCAGCATCAGTCTGTCCCACACCTCGAAGTCTATCTTTTCCCATACAAATGTCGAACTTCTTTTACCTCTGTCTCGCTCCCATTTAATCCCTCCTATCCTCTCTATACTTCCTTTCCTTTCTTTTTCTACAATCCCACCCACTTGGACATTTTTATTTACCTTACTGATCATATTTTATTGCTATTGAACCACTTCCCTCCAAACTAAGTCATCTACTGACTGTCTTTGTGTCAACTCTGTGTGTTTTCTTTGTGGGTGAGACATTTTTAAAAGACCTCTGGGGTCCCTTTTGTCCCACGCACACAGTGAGCTTCCTCTCTCTTTTCCTTTCGAAAATAATTTAGAGGTTGCAAGTAAACTAAACCTAACATTTAAATCTCCCCCTCTCTCATTACAGCGCCTCCACTACCACAAGAGTAGCTGACACCCATCCAGGCTGCTAACGGCTGCACCCCTCTCATGTCTCCTCTTTATGTCAACATGGAGGTGAAAAATAATTGGAGCACCGGACTCTGAGCTTTGATCACTGTATTGATATTAATGACTAACAGTGAATGCATATTAATAGCATGTGGAAGCTTGAAGATCACAGTTTTGTTGGATCTCTTCCTGTAGAGTTCAAGGCATGCTTTAATTCAGTCCATTATATCAGTCAAAATATTTTCACTAGTTGAACTAGGATCATACATCTCTCATGGAGTTAATGGCGTATGGTACAAGCAGGGTCCAAGCCATATAACAACTATAGTATATGAGTTTTCTTTGACCAAGAAAAGAGCCAAGCTGCTGCTTTTTAAACCAACAAGAGATGAAAAGAATCAGCTTGATGTCAATAAAATATATATTTTTCAAAAGCCAGAGACGTGTGCCTGACTGAGAATGAATTAACATTTGACCATTTCTGCATAGAAAAACAATCTCGTATTTGTCTTCTATTTGTCATGCTAAATCATATCCACATAATAAAATGCTAGTTTAGCCGTCAGGGAAGCTAAGCATGCTGATATATTCAGTGACAATGTTAGCATGCTTATGTGTAGCAGGTATAATAAAAATACCATCTTAATTTAGCATATTAGCATGCAAACATTTCAGAATGAACTTTGACCTGATGATGGCTCAGGATGAAAAGCCAAGTTATCTCTATTCACTCTAAGGGGAACAATGAAAAAGATGGTAGACAACCAAAGCTATTTGGACACATTGTCCAGCTATTTCATAAAAGTGACACATTTTGACCTTTTGGTGACACTAGAGGAAAAGTCAGGGGATCACCAAAGAGGCCTTCATCCTATGAATGTCTTTATAAAACATTATGGTAATCCATCCAGTTGGAGGTGTTTCAGTCTGAACCAAAGTGATGACCATCACCATCAAAAGAGCAGCGCCACTAGCATGGAAGAAAACACCTCTCTGGCAGCATACTGCATCCACTTCTATATTTATTTCACTTACTGATACACAGTTTACAGATGAAATGAACAAAAGCAGAAATGCTGGAATGTTGATGAATGCAGAGGTCAGTGGTGGGCAGAGAGAGAGAAAAGAGAGAGGGAGTGAGCAGAGAGGCACAATTCACACACATGGTTCTAGTTAGCGGACTCCCATTAAGGACAATGTGGTCTGGAACAAACTTTACATTTCACAGTTTAAGGGCATTTTTAAGACACTTCTGCCTGCCACTAAAAGGTCACTTTCAGTCATTTCATATGGATAATACACACTGTGCAAATGAAATATACGTAAGAGAACAACAATGGAAAACTGGAATGGTGACAAATGGAGGTTGATAGTGGTTTGAATTGAAATGTAATATATAGGCAAGAGAACAAAGAATGTCAAAGTCCACAACCACCAGCTTGCTTTAAAAATAGGTTATAAATTTGTGGTAACAGCTAGAAATATCTGTCTTGAATTGAACTTTGTTGGGATTTTTCAAGTGATACGGCCCCTGGCTGGCAGCCATATTGGAAGTTGTACCTTTTGTGCTACAATAGATAAATAGCTGGTTTAGCTAACATTTGACGAAAAGGGGGCAAAACAAGGACTTCAGCAGGCATGCAGCGGTTAGTGAGACTTGTATTTGTGAAGGGCTCCATCTCAGTGGTGGGAAATAACTAAGTACATTTACTCAAGTACTGTACAGTTCTGAAGTACTTTGAGTACTTGAATTGTCTGCTACAGTACTTAAAGGTGACAGCAGTCATTCAAAGCTCTGGTATTTGAAGACCTGTTTGTTTTCCATTAACCATAACCCAAAGCATCGGTATTTGACAACCTGGGGATGAGACTCAACAATCAACTATCTTTTTCCAAAATGACGGACCCCACCTTTAATACTTCTACTCAAACACATTTTAGAGGGAAATTTTATACTTGTTATCCAACTGTATGTATCCTGCAGTTATAATTATTAGTTAACAAATTAAAGATTTTACATAAGAAACATTTAATAAGCTTATGAAACACATTATAAAGAATATACCAGTGGTTCCCAAAGTTTTCTGAAATCTCTTAGAGAAAGTCTGTCCTCTTGTCATGTTTCAGATGTGAATGAGTTGTTATCATGTCTACAAATGTGACTTTTCCCCTTTAACTTTGATTTCATTAACAGTTTGAGGCCTGAAAAACTTATCCAAAGAACCCCAAAATGTATTCAAGTCCCTAAAAAAGGAAAACAGATTTTGTATGAGAGCTTTGTTTTTCCTTCCTTTGTCTCCCATGAATCAACCCAGGATCCCTTAGATTTATCTGGTGGCCCTTTGGAGGGGCCTGAGTCCTAGGTTGGAAACCACTGAACTAATCTACCAAAGTGATGCAAAAGTAAAACACTTCTTACACACTGATGCATCAGTAAAAATAACTAATAATGTAATATATAATAATATAACACGCTAAGGAGCTAATCTTCTGTGGAGCGAGTACTTTCACTTTGAGACTTTACACTGTGCTGATAATACTTCTGTACTATTACTTAAGGAAAATCATTTTATGTGTAATGAGGTACTTTAACATTGTTGTATTGGTGCTTAAGTAAAATATCTGAGTGCTTCTTCCACCACTACTCCAATCTTCATGGATAACTCCACGCAAGATAGTGGGAGTCTTGGGGGAAGGGAGGGATCCGGTGCCTTTCTGTCTGGGTTTCAAGTTCACTGTTTAAAAAACTCTCCTTTGCTTTTCCATGCCTGAATCCAGAGGATCATTAAATGGAAAAAGAGGCCTAAGCACTTTCACACTCAGATTCACGAAAAGTGAGAAAGCAAGGAGACCGTATGAAGTTATGCAGGATTACAACTGATATGGCTTCTAGCTCTTATCTCATCTCAAACAACAAAATAAACTTCATTCAAAGTAAACTATGACTTACATTAAGTTGAAATAGTCGACACAGATGTTAGTTTGCCCCTGTATGTAGATCAGGTGTCACAGTTGTTTACAGCCTTCTGGATTTATATTATGTGCCTTTGTATGTTTGAAGGGTGTTTAGCCTACATGTAACTCCACCCTTGTATGTATGTATATATGTTTGTGTGTGTGTCGCCAACAGCCTGTTAAGTTGATGTTGGCACCAGATGAAAGGGCTCGCATGGTCTCGCCTGTGGGGGGAGGTCGGAGGGCTAATCGCTACTTTAATATCACCTCTGTGGAGCTGTGGTCATTGTAAACTGCGGCCTGACACAAAAAAACAGACTGAACACAGATGTTGTGAGGCAGACAATGCTGGGAACACACTAGAGGTAAATCACATTTGAAAATGCATTGATTCAAATCCAGTAAAAGCGGATGTGTTTATTTTTTTTGTCTCACCTTTGTTAATCTGCTTCTCTAGATGGGGGTTCCCATAATTCACTGTGTAAGTGAATTTACTGGCTGATTTAAGAAATGTCAAAAGTTTTCACAGGGACCAGAATATCACATGACATTTTGTTGCTTACACATCAAGTGTCAGCATCAAGAATAGTGTGTATTTATGAATTTAAAAGTGATGATTGACATTTTGATAAACAGCTTAGATAAGAATATTGATATTCTCATTTTCATGTCTACATTATGCTAAAGTCCGGAGGCAATTAGCTTAGCTGGGGAAAGTCCCAAGCAGGGGAAAACAGCTATTCTGGTTTTCTTCATAGTTCAATAATAAACCTATCAACACCTCCAGGACTCACCAGTTAACACAATAATTAACAGGTTGCATCTTGTTTGTGGTTTTACATCGAGTTACGTGTACATACGTCTGTTTGTGGCAAAGAACCAGAAGACATTCGTCAAGGAGCAGTGATAGCACATAACTTCCCCTAGCTATGTTAGCCAGCTAGCTAGCTAGAGTCAGGCTAGCTGTTTTCCCCTGCTTTGACTCTTTATGCTAAGCTAAGCTATTCACCTCCTGTTTCTGGGTCCGTACTTAACACACAGACATTAGAGCGATACCAACTATCTATCGCACTTCAACTTGGAACCTGTTTGATATGAACTGGAAGGCTCAGATTAACCTGTAAATTCAAATCTCCAATCTCTTCTACAATTGTAATGATGGACAAATCTGGTCTAAACCAGCACCACAGTCTTCTATTGTGTTCCCAGTTTAAACTACACAGGATTCAAACATGGGTGCAAAAGAAAGATTCCTCATGAAATACTCCAGTATACAACACATTCCCTTCTGCATCTTGGTCTCATAAAAGTAAGTTATATCAAAGAATATATAAAATTATATGTACAATAATTGTGAGACATTACACATTTTGCCCTTCACAAATCATCTTAATACAAAATAATACAGACTATAAATAGACAATACTTTTTACATAAGGCAGGGTTACTAGTGGTGTGTGTGTTTCTCTCATAGCTGCTGCTCCCCAAACAGTATCTGAGCGTACACAGTGCCGCTACACGACGCTTTTGCTTCTGGAATTGGCTTCACCAGATCCAGCTCTGCGTAGGTCAGATTCTCTTCCACTATCTTGGGCTGGAGATGTGGAGAAGAGGGAAATGGCGAGGGAAGTGGTATCAGTGGTTAGAAAGACTTTTATGCCAAACTCCATCATTAAGCTTAAGATTTCTTGTCAGTCAAAAAGTATTCTAGCTCCAAAAAGTTAGATGTTTTCCTCTCTCATGTCCTTTCTCTGCTTTACAGCATTGGTTTGGTACATTTGAGCAGGCTGTGTGCAGACGTCCCTTTACAGGATTCGTGGGTTGAGGTTGCCAAAATTCAATTACCTCTTGCCGTCTTTGGTACCATTAAAATGCCAAGTTGCCACAGAGCCACTTCATTCCAGTGACAATTACCAAATTAAACCAAGGTTATGTGGCACATTTTATGACATTTTCTGGTACTTTTGTTTGCAGACATTCCTGTCACGCGTTAGTTGTTTTCCATTGAATTTGGCACAATAACAATGGTAGGATGTCACGAGGAATGCCTTGCTTGGTCTGGTAGTTTTAGGCAAAAGGTACCAATGCATCATAGAAAGGATTTCTCCAAAATGATATATGCCACACATACTGTACATATCAAGGTTACACACACAGGTGAAATTATATATTATAAATAAAATTTGGCAACAATAAGAAATGATGATTAAAGTAAACAATGTATAAAAGGGTACGTATGGTACTCACCAACACTACTTTCCTTGGTTGCGGTTTTAAAAGTTTGGGTTTCCGTGTTTTGTCTCCAATGGGAGCTGCAGGGGCAGAACTAATGTTAGTGGTTTTGCAGAGATCTATTTAGCAAATATAATGTATATATTTATGTGCACAGCAAGAACCAGACCTCTTTTTCATAACAAACATGACATGTGCTCCCGTTCACAAAGTGTTTACACAGATAGTTCTGATTATAATAAAAAAACGTCTGAAGGCCCTTACTGATTCTAATATTTAAAATTCAATCCCACTTCTAAAGCGGCTGCTCTTATGAGTGGAGCTCTGAATAATACACAAGAATCATTCACCTCTTTGGCTTAAAGCTGCACTAGTCTGTTTTTATAGGAACAATCGATGAAATAACTGTAATGTGAGTATGGGTTGCCTTTGCCTTGCAGCTAGCCTGGCTTTGTCTAACACTAACAACCACCTAACAGCACTGATTAACATGTTATGTCTTGTTTGATTTATCTGTACAAAAGCCAAAGTGTAAAAATGACTGTTCGATGCCTGGCAACAGTCAGAATAGTAACCTTCCATAAAACGGCAAATTTCTGTTTTTACACAGGTTTTTGTACTGATTAAACAAACAAGATAGAACATCTTAATGAGTAAGCTTTTAATGCTAACATTAGTTGCACAAAACAGCAACAAGCAGCTAAATAGAATCAGCACTAAAACACTTAAAAACCTCCCTACAGGAGTATTTCCTTGTCAACACAGTTCCCACTCAAATCTTTCATCCGTGAGCTGGGAGGAAATAAAGGGATTTGGGAGCTCTACCACAACATGACGACCGTGAAGACTGTGCTGAAGTTTTTTTTGCTTTCTGTGAAAAAAACAAAAACATTCCACATGCTACCCCATCACCCAATACTTTATGTGTGGAAGGGGTGGATGTTGGCCTCACATACCAGCACATAGTCGTGTTTGGAAAGCCAAGTAGAACAAAGTGAACCAAGAGTAAACCTCAGTTTGGACCGATGCTCATGCTCAGCTATTTACGTTGTACAGTTGATGAGCTACTTGTGAGTCCTGTCTTTTGTTGACAAGGTGTGGCTCGCTTGTGATTGGACAGTTTACATTTAAACAAATGTATTTTTTTCCAACATGTTTTAGACAAAACTGTGGTTGTGAACGCACCCACAGACTCTGGCTTACCTTTGGCTGGTATCTCTGGTGGTATCTCCTCCTGATAGTCTCTGCTCCTTTTCTTCCTGTACCTCCTCTCTTTCTTAGGCAGAGCAGGAGACATACTGACCACACTGGTGACTGTCTCTCCTGAGCTGGATTAAGACAAGATTATGATAACTTCAGTGCAGTTAAGAACACTTGAGTGTTTGTTAGCTTTTTGTGTGAGGCTAAGTCTTTTTAAATCTTACCTGTTCTGCTGACTTTTGACCAAGTGGTAATTATCTGCAGAGATATAACACATTTAACAAGATATGTAATATCTGGTGTGGAGATTATTGTTCTTGTGTTAGCTCTGAATCACTCTTCAGAGAAAAAAGATGAAGAACATAATGCAGAGGGCATAAAAGAGAAAACACAGACATGAGAATTAGATTGATAAAGGTCAAAGGTCAGTGGGGAGTTATCTTGATGTTGCTGCTAACCTTTTAACCTCTGCTTCCTCTGTATGTACTGGCAGGTTACCGTCACCGTGAACATGCACATACACAGCAGACCCACTGAGCAGATCAGCACTGCACACAGGTACACATCTGAAACACAAAAAACACACACACACACACACACACACACACACACACACACACACACACACACACACACATCAGTCCAACAGTGCATCAGCCTCATGCCTATTGCTTGACTCTACACAAAAATCTGAAGGAAAAAAAGTACATGTTTTTGCTGAGCTATTTAAGGCACTGTACTATATCGTTTGGGTTGGGCTATTTTTGCCTGCCAAGGACGATACAGTGCCAGTCCACCACAAACACACACGCTAAAAATATGACGACTTACCTTCAAACAAGCTCCACAGGCTTTCTTTGGCCTTGGTGACCGGTAGGACATGCACTACATGGAGAAGGAAAGAGAGAAGAGAACCATGTTAAGTCCACAGTCATCACTGTGGCCTCCCTGCCGCCTGATTACACGCTGGTTAGAGTTTAAATAAAGCTAATTGTAGGAAGACAACGAGCCGAGGTTGGCCTCCTCCCTGCCTGAACCCGTCTCTGAATCACTGTCTCAACATTAATCTTTACTGGAGGAAAAAGCTTAAATAACTTACTAACTCAGACATTAAAGCAAACAGTTAGTTTAGAGATATGCATCATGGTAAACCTTTACCTCACACCCCCAAAAGCTCTGGCAGTTACCCTCTCTTTCACCTTCACAACAAACTGCTGTGGTAAAACAAAGCAACCTGTTCCCATTTTGGTAATGCAGTGGTTGCATGTCCCACCTCAGACTTGTTTTTTTTTTTTTTTCTTTTGTGATATGAACAACATCAAAATGTTCAGATTTGATCAGGTCCAATTGATCTACAGGTATTGAAACATTTTGAATTTAAAATTGGAGTTTCCATGTTTCACATGGCGGTAAGTAAAATTCATAGCAGTTGCCTGAGACAGTTCTTGTAATTGTTAGATTACTTTTTGGCTTTTATTTTGTAGTGACAGTGTAGAGAGACATGGTTAGAGAGAGGTAGGACCTGCAACGAAGGTCCTTAGCCAGGAATCGAACTGTGGTTGTTGCATTTAAGGGGTACGCACATTAAGGCTACCCAGGAACAATGGGTCCTTGATTTTGGACAGAGAAAAATAGGCTTCTCATTTTCAGCTGTTGACCTTTGATATGGCCAGTATAGATGACTGCTGCTGGCTGTTTGTAACTAGCTGCCTAATTAACATAAACCCCCGTAAGTTTGAAACTCTTTCTATGGTTGACTTTCTAATGTCTTAGCTGGCTCAGATAAAATTAGAACCTTGCAAAAGGTCATAAATATATGCATTTTGGTTCCATACATGATACCTGATAACCAAGTTGTTATGATGCAGAACAGACTTAAGCTAAAGCTCGTATCAAAAAAGTTAGCACGCTCACCATTAATGATGATCACTGTATAAGTCCTGGACATAAAGTGTAAAGTTAATTAACCCTAGTGTTATTGTATTATTAGAAAATATGTAATGTCCAACTGCTTGACAGACCTACCATGTCTAATTACGGTGGCTAGATATGGCTTACTGGACATCCCAGCACAGACCAGATAACTGTTACACCCCAAAAATTAAATGGTGAATAAAAGCAGCCTTAATCTATGTAATGAGAATCCCAGCTATGTGCTGCTTGTGTTTAAAGTGAGTGAGAAAATGTTTCCCATACTTGAAACCTGAAATCTGGCCTCACACACTCACTCATTTCTCCACCCCATCTGACCACAGTAGTCTTAACACCGCTGTACTCTTGCTGAGCTGGTGGTAGGGAGCTTGTGAAGTGACACCCACCGGGTCATCTTGAAATACCCCAAACCACCACCAGCTGACGACAGGCAGGCCCACCACGCCGGCTGGAGACTTTCCCACAGGCAGACTGGCTGCGCTACATGCTGACTGACTGACTGACTGACTGACTGACTGATTTGCCATAAGCATGCTTCAGATAATTCCAAAACACAGTGGGAGCTATTGCATGCATTGACCCTGCATTTGTACTTCAGACAATTCAAACTAGCATATGGAAACCTAAAACTCTAAAAGCTATAAAGCAACGTTAGTAATTAAGACCGCCCTTGTGATAGCTGAAAACAAGTGAAAACATCAGTTCTTATTGAACACCTAGGACGACTGCCCAATCACAACTTTCATTGGGGAAAACTGAGATTAGATTTACAGCCAGTGCCATAAAGCTGCGTGGAACAGCCTGAGTGTGAATTAAACTGCCAAACATCACATAAAGCAGTGGGATGTTTACTGCAAAGCCTGCAGCTCTGAGAAAACGAAGATTAAATCCTAGAAAAGAGTTTCTTCAAAATGCTGCATCATCCTCATACCGCTACAGTCGAACTACTTTTTCTGTTATAGGATAACATTTATTTAAACTAAATGTCACTACGAGGCCAGCAATAACAGGGTACCTTTACACAAAAGAAAGACAGACAGCATATATTTCACTACTTCACAGAGCACTACAATGCCAACTTCGAAAATGAAATGCAATAAACAGCAGTGTTACCATTTTGCCCAACCCATATTCAACTGTTTTCTATATTCATATCAACCACAGAAGGGATGTATTTTCCTTCAAAATCCAATAAAATGCTGTTAAATGGCTGTCAGTTATCAGGTTTTTTCAAACCTTTTAAACAAAGTGATTGACATTTCAGGTTGTTTCAATACTTTCCTGAAGACTGTTGGTTGAAAGGCTTTTATCAACAGACTGTTTCTTGAACTTCCCTTTAGATTCGGTCCCCATCTGTGAAACCACTAACCTTACGCTGACCATATGTGACCTATTTCTGCTGTTTGGAAAACACTGGCCTTAAAGGACCAGAGTGTAGGATTTAGTGACATGAATTTGCAGATTTCAAGTAACTGAACGCAGCTCGTGGGAATCAGAACGGGCTGTGAAGTGTGTACGAGAAACTTGGAAGGCGACCTGCAGCATCTATAGCTAAAAATGTCTCATTCTAAGGTAACAAAAATACAACAATTCCAATATTCAGGTGATTATACACTAATAAAAACATGCTTGATATTAAAATCCATTTCTGCCAATAGATCCTCCTAAATGTTACACACTGGACCTTTAATCATTTTAAAGGGAAGATAGACACAAATAACAGTGGATTGTTATGTTTTTTGTCAAATGTTTACAGTTTTTAAGGGGTTAGGGCTGTGCTAAACAAAAGCCTGTCAAAGGTTCACTTGCCTCCTCAACTTGTTTCTTGGGTTTTTCAGACTTTCAAAAATTGCCACCAATCCAAAATATAAAGCAAAACGACATTAACAAAAGTGCCTTAATAATCACAGAGATGTCATCATCAAGCTACAAACTAACTACAAAAGACATCATATAGTTTGGAAGCTTGTGAGGCATATTTTATATGATAACACTGATGCTGTAATGTTCCCTTTCCCCATTACATCATTGTTCATGAAACTCTCAAAAAACTACAGCAACTACATCAGTACATGGCACATACACTGTCTCTCTAAAGGCTGCACAGTCTCTGGGTAAAATATAATTTACAATGTACAATATGTAATTTCTGCCACTCAGGAGGTTTTTACCAGTAGCTGAATAATCCACGGAGGTCTCCTCCTCTCCACAGCAGACGGACACAATGATGAAAACTAGTAAAAACACGGGTTCAAAAATCAGTGTCTCTCTGATGCTGTTCGGTGGACAAAGGTCAAGCCGCGGCTAATGAGCGCAGCTTGTTTCTCTGATAACTTAAGATCCAGACATCCGATGACATCATCTGGTTAAAATACATGGTTAAAATTGACCAAAATCTAAAAAATATCAATAAAATGTGCCTTAAAACTGGATAAAGAGTCAGTTTATGACAGCTTCTGGTAGACAACTACAACACTGATGCATGCACAAAGAGCCTATGGCGCCATTGACAGGCAATCGGTGAAACGCACTGTTACCTGAACATTTTTTTTTTTTCTGGGTTTGAGCATTGTTGGAAACGTTTGGGCTAAAGTAAGTACACAACAACAAATTACCATATATAAGATAGGTCTAGCATTTATAGAAATTTCATTGCGGAAACATAGAGCTTTAAAACAGAAATTCTCCCACCAAATGGCAGATGATGTAATTCAAAGACCTGCCCTTCCTTCACAGTAAATTATTCACAGCGTAAATCTTGATGACATCTATGACGTTTATGTGGTGTTTTTGCCTCAGGTTCTGTGTAGCCCTGTCAGTGTGGCAGCTGTACATGTTGGAATAATCAGACATGAGATAAATCTGTTGTACTGCATGACATAAAACTGGTTTTTATCCCCATCTAGAAAATGTCTTCTTTTCACAGCGACATTTGAATGGCTGACAACTGCATCGGACTACAGTGGAAACATTCGAACAAACTGCGTTTTGTTCAAAAGAGCCACAGGGTTGCATTCATTTGCAGACTGTATTTCAGTTTTGTGGCTCTTTTTTGTGCCCCAACAAACCCAACACTGTAAACTTCAATACACAGACGTGAACTGGAGTGAATAAAGATCCTCTGTGTCTTCACCATCTACTTGGTAAGTCACTGCTCTAATTTACTGTATTAGAAAAGACTGGAGATGAATGTAAGTACACAGCAACGTTGTTTGTCTCAACAAAGCTTTGAATAACTAACCCTTTAACTTCCTGTTGTCTCTTTGTATCTTTTCTTCCAAGAATTAGCATAGTCCTGTGTTCCCATTATGTCAATAGGTCTATTTTGTTGGCTTCTTATTCATAGTGTATGTCCCTTTTTTATGTCTACGGAGATGTTTGTGACCCCAGAACTGTGATATTTCAGATTTTTTCCTTTTGAAGCTGCCAATAGAGTTCTGTGTTCACTACACTTAAACCCACGCCTCATCCGTGTCACGCGTACCCCTTGTTAACTTGGACTCGCCCACACTTGTTATTAAAAGTACCTAAGAGTTCAGTTTGTTAATTCCAAAAGGAGGCTGTGTCCACACCGTGCACTGCCTTCAGTTTTTCTACAAAACCCTCTGACATCTCTTTTGTTTATTATAGCAGTAGTGAGCAGAGTAATGGGCGTTTTGTGTGCGAGAGAGATTGTGGAAACACCTGGTCACCTAATGTTATCCGACTACAAGAATTCCATCAGTTTGACGTCACAAACACACACATTGGTGCACATAAACTCTCAGTCATCTGCTGGTTCTCATCTGAAGTGGGGACCAGGAGCAATGGTCCCAGCGGGGTTTTAAACTTTCAGATGTGTAGCTGATGTTTATCATAGCTGTCAACTGTTGGTGTGGATACTGGGAAGAAATACCACTGCCTGCTGGTCCCCTGGGCAGAAATAATGCGATTTTCCGGTGTTGTTGGAGCTTTGGCCTGTCCATTACAATTACCCAACTTAGATCCTGGACAGTGTATTTCAAGTGTGTTTGGTGTTAACAACTCACAATTCAAATGGTGATGAAACTGATTAGTTTACCTTAGAGTTCATTTTGGTTTCACTGAATTTTAAAGGCTTAAAGGGGAAAGCCAGCATGACAAACTGGGGGTATGACATTTGTAAGATTTAAGGGTCCAATGCAGGATGGGAAATGTAGCATCCAGCATTTTTAGTGCTAAACTCACACAAAGAACAGAATATCTCAGGCTGTGCTGCTTTTGATTATTCTTTTCAGAAATCTGTCTCTTTGAACTTTGTGGAAGTACAATATTAAACTGGTAGAGTAGGCTACCCTGTACCAACTGATTTTCACCTAAATGATATGTCTCCAACCAACTAAACTTATCATGCTTCCAAGAGGACACCATTCAGTGATGTTTATTCTTTTATTTCTTACCATTTACAATAAACATTTCCGGATTCAAAACAAAATTCTTCTTTTTCACTATTTTTCTTTTTAATAATATATGAAAATAATTAGCTGTTTAGTTTCACAAATTCACCCAGAATTAGTTTTTCATTTATGGGGATTTGGAAACAAATCCCCATAAACAAACCCAGACCTAACTTTCTTCAATCTCTATTTATTCATTCAATTTTAAAGCTAAGGGATTTACAGACATTGTATATTGTATTGACAAAGAAATTGTATATGTGTATGGGAAAATACAGCCTTCATTCAGATTTGATGTTAAAAGCAGCAAATATAGAACTAAACCAAAATCAATATGTAACAAGTGCAAGTTGCAAGAGGCTGCAAAGCTGTTTTTGGAGGTAAACAAGGAATGTATTCTAGTCTTGACCAGAATTGTGCGCTTCCTCTTCCTTCTGTCGTGTAATGAAAAATGAATTATGTAGTTTTATTTTCTACACGTATTGCCATTCATGTCATAATTGCAGTATCCATTTAAAAAATGTCGCCGAGGCTTTTTTTATTAATATCTCTGAAACCACAATGGCTGGCGCTTCCTTGGATAAAAATAGCTCACCACATCCTTGACCACAAAAGGTTCAGAGCCAGACAGAGCCAGCTGCCCACTCGACTGTCACTGCAGACAAACATTAGAGCTTTACCTTCCTCAGCACAACTATCTCTTGTTCCATTTCTGCTGAGTCTCTCTGAACTCTTGTCTGGTCTACTTTTGGGAGGGAAACTCCATGTCAGGTCCAATGTCAACAGCTCTCGGTAGGGACTGCGTGTCTGCCCGGGCCCAGACTTGGCTGTGGACAACCCGAAAGTCACAGCCTGTACAACGCTTCCATGGAAAATGTGGTGAGCAACGTCTAGTGTTGTTGAACACTGACAGCACTACAGCAATGAGATTCAATTAGATCAATTGTCGTCAGATTCTTGCAAGGATGAAACTTTGTGACGCACTCATTCTTTAGATAAACTAAAGATAAATGCCTCTCCAACTGCTTACTGCTGACCTTTGATGTAACACTATCATGATTGAACGTACAGCCATTTCACAAAGGTTTCTACATTTTACCTTATCAACCATAACTAGGCGCGGCAGGTTGATACTTATCTCTACACTATTTATGGTGTCTTTCAAAAAAACAAAAAACAAGGATGGATTAAACTGTGTGTTTATCTGCTCTAACATGAGCTGCAAATGTTGGCATGCCCAGTCAACTACCCTCTATTTAGCCACCAAGCGTTATTTCCAAGGCTATCATTGATTAATTACATGAAGTTGCACTCAAGCTATCTCCGCCAATGTTACCCCAGATAGTGTTAGGTTAGACCTCATCTTGAAAGCCCTTTCTCGTCTTCATATTCTCAGACATGTTTTCAACTTGAACTAAAGTATGTAAGCTGAAAAACCAAACTGATATGTAATTATGAATTAGAGATGCACTGATTCACTTTTTTTTTGTTCCAATCTGATTCTGAATTTGGATATGTGCCGATATCTGATACCGCTTCATTAAATTAGTAGTACTGTACGATGCAGCACTGCCATCCTTAGGAATGTCGGCTTTTTCACACATTACAAGTTGCTGCATTGCTTTTCTGTGTTTCGGGACTAAAACATCTCCAACCTAAGGACACATTGAGTTAGCCGACACACTCAGTGGCAGACTGTCTCATGTTAGGTTCCAGCAGGTTTGTGGTCCAAAAGCTCCGTCTGTACGTCTAATTAATACAATTCTGGGAGACAACAACTAGCGGATATCTCTGTAGAAATGTTTAATTACTGATTAATTAATTTGGGGTACAACATTTTGGCTATGGGCTGAAAATTGCATGACATAATTAATAAAACCATCAGAGTATAGATTCAGTATATGGATCAGACAAATATCTGATACATGAATTGAGTCAATTTCGGTGTCCGATACTGATATTTGATTGGGCCGATCCCAGTTCTAAAGTTAGAATTATACAATGTCTCTTGACTGCGTAGATGGCATAGATTGTAAGTCCCAGTGTCATAATACTAGGACTGATTACCTACCTTACTGCAGTAGGCTAAAAGAACAATGCTTATTTACTTCCATGTCTTTTACACAAATTATCAACTGGTTAAGATACTGACTTATGCCCGACATAATCTTTTAGCAGGATATCATGTATGGAACCACTGAGTGCATATTGAGGCCCTTTTACAAGACTCTTGAAAAGAAAGAAAGAAAGTCAGCAGGAGATGTCACTTTCATCTCACTCAGGAAGCTAACGGGGGGAGGGGCATTCAATTCACATTCACAATCTTCAAACAAACAAACAAGTGAAAAGTTGGGAGGAAAAAAATGCTTTCTTTAGAGTGTTGCTGGTTTCGTGAAAGTGAAGGCATTTCTGGGCAATATCTGGTACCAGTCGGATTTGTCATCCATTCCGTTGTGTGAACGTCTCTTGTGCCAGCGGTGGCATTGAAACCTTGCACTCTCTCTGCTCTTTCTCCAAGATCATCTACTCAGTCAAAGCCGCAACTTATTGCAATGGAGAATCCTTTTATCTCCAGACTTGCCCCTAACCAATGACATTTCCCCTCCGCTAATCAAAAGCAGGACAGTGTTTTTGCTCAGTGAATCAATTTCACTGCCTCTTCAGCCAGATGAATTACATCATCCAGTTGTGGTCAGAGAAAATGCTACTACTGGAGACACAAAATTGCTTCCCTAGGACAAATAGTTTATCTGCTATCTTCAATGTACTGCTGTTATGATGTTAATTTAACTGGGGCGCCTCTTTGGGTCTGTAAGCCTTGAATCATCTTCCCGTTTGTTTTAAACCGTCATTTGGAGACAGAATTATTAACACAACTGCGGTGGCACAAAGAGCTGTTAACGCCCCTTCCCTCTCCTTCAGATCCAGTCATATTTTTGAGGTCTAAATTACTGAGAGAGAGTTAAGACTGCATCTATGCTCTTTTTCCATGCTCATCTTGCTAAAGCCTCAAACAGTTTCATGTGTTCACAGCTGGGAGCTGCTCAATAGCAGTCACAGTTTTTCTGCTGCTGGCCCTGGAAGGTCTCTGCAGACAAACCTGGCATCTGCGTAAAACTTTTTTGCGGTCTTACTATTATCAAAACAGCATTTGTCATTGCTTCTGTTGTGGTTGCAGAAATAGTTAAGAGTTCGCCCTGCACCATCAAAAGCAGTGATGTCATTCTGTGAGAAACTGGGCTACAGCTACTGGTTTCTCCTACCAAGAATAAACTGGAACAGCCTAATGCAGAGGTTCCCCACCTTTTTTGGCTCAATTTTAAGTCTGACAATTTCCACACAGATTCACACATTCCTGAGTATAGCACCCAAACGGTTTGGAACAAATCAGGAGCGAATTGCTAATTAGCAAATAGTTAATAGCTAAAGCCTGAAGAACTTTGGATCAAATAGTAGATAGATAACAGACAGCTAGAAGTTATGTTAATGAGCCAGTATCTAATGATTAGTTCAGAGTTATTCTGTGAATCTGTACTAACTCATTTTCCTGATTAGCGGCTCATAAGACTTTATTATAAGGTGTTTGTATTTACAAATTTTGTGTTTGCTCAAGTAAAGTGGTACATGCAAGTTGTTAATTGCCATTTTAGTCTAGTTTGATTTAGCTCAGGCTTGAATTATATTTTCTATATATTTTGCCTAAATTTGGCTAGATACGCTGTCAAACTAATGAGTAGATGTGGTTGGTTTGGAGGGGAGTATGTTCCCACAGCCCTATGTTCCCACATTTCTAAGATTTTTTCAAAATCAGGCCCTATGTTCCCACATTTCCTTTTTCATAAATTTGTATCAGATTTTGTCCCCCTTTCTCCCAATTTGGTAGCCAATTAACCCTAACCCTAACATAGGGCTGTGGGGACATAGGGCCTAATTTTTTGTGAAAAAAAAATTCTTAGAATTGTGGGAACATAGGGCTGACCCCATTTGGAGAACCAATGTCCTGTTCTTCCATTGGTGTCAACCGTTCTATCCAGGATTACTGTATGAGTGTACTTAGTGTTAACATACTGAACATACTGAACATACTGAACATACTGAACAAATGCGTGGACAGTGGAAAACTGGGTTTCTTTAAAATATTTGATATTTTTGTCTGACATAAAAGCCTGAGTTCAGGCTAACCTGTGAAGCAGCAAAATGCAAAGAGTTTAAAGCCATCAAAGCCTGTGTGTGTGTGTGTGTGTGTGTGTGTGTGTGTGTGTGTGTGTGTTTTCGTACTAAAAAGAATAAGTGGAGCAACCTTTTAGAAACTCTATAAGCACTACAAGATGTGTCCACTCTTTCTTGCCTGGCTTCATATTGAGTTCACTGAGGTATTCTTGGCCTTTATCGTCTTATCTTCATCTCGACAAATGTGAAGCAGAGTGCTTGCTTGGCAAATCATTCCAGTGATAAGAAAAAGACAGGATAAAATAACACAATAAATCCAGCCCTCACCTCTGAGCTCAGTAGCGGCGGTGCAGTTCGATGAGGCCTTCCAGCGGTCCTGGTGCTTTTTAAACTCCTGCACCCGGCACATGTAGAGCCCCCGGTCCCCCTCAGACACATTCAAGATCAGCAGGTCAAAGATCTTCCCCTGCTTCACCACCGTCAGCTTCAGTTTGGGCCAAGGGAAACTCTTTGTGTAGTTGCCATAAAAACGGGCCTTCCTCATGTTGACGCGGGCGATGAGGAGTTCGTCCTCTGGCCGGTCTGTGCCTGCTGGCAGGAAGGTCCATTTCACTACTGGCAGAGCAGCATTGCGGCGCCGCTGGGACACGACACAGGAGAGTGTGATATTTTGACCCTCCTGAGCCACTGTGAAGGGGGAAGGGGTGATGGTGACGTTGACGGCCAAACACAATTCTGGAGAAGAAAGATTTATTTATTTAAGTTATTTTAGAATCTGTATTTGGTGCATTAAGTATGTTATGTATTATGTAGGGATGACTGATTATCTCTATTATTTACTATTTGATCACATCCAATCCTTCATAAGCTGAAAAAGATGTCAGGAAGTGGATGCTGGTTATGTCCTAACAAAACACATGTGACTTTGAAGACATGCTCCTATCATGTTTCAGCTGCATGTTAGTTACAGCGACCCTTTGATTGTGACAGAGTTGAGGCATCTTTCTAAACACATTCAGCTGTCTTCCTGTCCCTCCATTGTTTTGTCCATGCTGCAGATAGATAGCTGACTACACTGGAAAACATGCAAAATTATGTGAATCTACAGTATACATTTATTTGCTCTGTTTGATTGTTAGTTTGTTGTTCTAATGTAAAACTGAGTTAAGAAAAGTTGAACAAATTTTTAGTGACCTTTCTTTCGGCAGTGAGGGAGTTTAACAGTTAGTTCCTCATATGATGCGTTTTTCTGTAATGTTAGCAGCCACAGTATCATTGGTTCATTTTTATAAGAGAAATTACAGAAGAAAAGACGTAAGAAAACATCCTTTTCTTCTTCATTTCGTTCTCCTGTTCAGGTTCAACAACGGTATCCTGATAAACTGAGACTATCGACTTTATGTATACCATTTCACTGCCAAAGAACAAAGCTGTTTTCCTAGTCATGTATTTTAATCTTTTTTTAAAAAAAAACACTAGTCTGGGACATATTAATAGTAAATGGTAAATTCAGATTTACCTGCCTTAGGCTGTAGTCTGACAAACCCTAAATTAGAGGGAATGTGATTAGTTGGAATTTTAAATTGATTCAACTTAAAACCAAATCTAATAAAGGGTAAATGAATAAGTATTAAAGTTTTATTAAACTACAATATTTGTCTGAGGTAAATAGCAGGTTTTAGGGGATTTCATAGCAATACTGAAATCACAGTTTGAACAGGTCAGTGATAAGCTTGACAGTTTATTCTTGACCTTGAAAACAGCAGTTGGCCAAACAATTGCCCCTTAAGGTCAGTTTACTTGAGCTTTTGACTGTATCACAATGTTTCTTCAGCGTCAGATGACTTTACTCAGTTGTCATAAAACTGAAGATGTTAAAACTTGACATTATTTTCATTATCTCGATTTTATCAAAATATTTTTCCCAGGGTCAAGAACTCATAAAAAGTGCTCTGTATAATTTGAAATCATAGTAAGATTCAGTCTGCATGCTTTTAGATCAGTTTAAAAGTTATTGTCAGATCTGTGTCAGATTGGAGGAAAACAATTTAATTCATATACTCAAAGTGTGAGTGTGTTTATGACAAATTATTGAACAATTACCAAGAATGTAGGGAAATGTTTCTTCTAAAATATTTCCCTAAAATAACAAGTACTTGGGTAAAGGAAGCCCTTTTAATTCCACTTCCAAACTTAAAGTAAAATTGACTGCAGCTCTAAGGGTTTAAAAATAATTTACAATTGAGTTTTCTGGATCAGCAGAGCAGCATGAAAATATATCAGCGTAACAAATATAGTGAAAATTTGTTCCAGGAACGTAAGCTAGACGTCATGTCTGAAATCCATACAGTCCCCATCTCCTGTGGGTTTGTTGTTGCTCAACGGTCCTCTTTCCTGTCACGCTGACAGCTGCGTTGTTTTTGGCAGCGTGACGACATACGTTAGGTGAATATTGAGGAAGAAACTTTACTGCTGCAAGCGTTGCATGACAATATATCACACATCGGTTTTTCCAATCCTGGGCAATTTCATATAGCACACTTTCCGTGACACGCAAGCATTTTACTGTCACACAGCTAAGATGCTTTCAGCTTAGTGCATAATTAAAATCTGTGGCACTTTTACAGTTTTGTCTTTCATTTAGTTTTCAGTGACAGAACAAAACAAAGGAAATATAGTCGAGTGGATGGAAAGCGTTGTTTTTGTGTTGCATGAATAAACTGCTGTGAAAGATGAAACTGAAATCAACGTAAATGAATGTAGAAGTGAGACTGCAAGCTCTGTTTTACTTTCAAACACTCTCAGTAAAACCACCCATTTTCACTTTGGAATCCCCTCTCATCTCTGCAAACACATGCAACTTTGATAAACTTGTTATTTTCTTGCCAACATACCCTGCAATCTTACTTGGATCTTTATTTATTTCAGCAGAAACTGGACTGGCCAGAGATCGTGTGAAAGAAGTTACATTTGACTGACCATCTTATATCATCTATAGATTTCTCTTAATCTCCTCAACCATCACCCCAACATCCTCTCTGATTCTGTTTTCTGTGAAGCTTCTCTGAAAAATAGTGGGAAACACTTTGTCTCCACCACATCCACTCTGGTATGAAACAAAATAAACTTTTCTTACCTCCAAGCAGTGCTCGAGTCAGGAGAGCGAAGATCACAGAGGAGATCTTCATTTTCCACGGCTGCAGCCTCCATAAACTCCCAGTTAAATGCCTCTGAAGAAAAGAAGCCCCAGGTTTCCTCCTCCTCCTCTTCTTCTTCTACTCTTTTTTTTCTCCCCCAGCCGAGGAGTGTAATATGAAACATTGGACGCTCTGTTTCTACTCAGAACCTCCCTCTGCCCCTCCCTCCCCTCCTGTCACACACAGTGAAAACACATTTGGCAGGCTTACGTGCCCCCACACACAAACATATGCACATGCACAGAGCAGACGGAAACAGACAGGTGAGCATGTGCGAGGACATGCACACACACACACACACACACACACACACACACACACACCTCTGCTTCTGGCGAGTGAGTGGGAAATGTAATTTCCTGTGCAGGATGGAGGGGAGGGGAGGGGCTTGTGCTGTTGAGATTGACGCCGAGCAAATCACACTTCCAGCTGTGGAGGACAGCGGGCGCAGACCAAAGTCAGGGCTTTTATTTGGGAACACACACAGATGCTGACAAAGACGGAGGAGGGCGGGTTGCAGTCTGGGTTTGTGTGTGGGCGTCTCTGTTGCCAGTGAAATGATGGAGAAGAACATTTAACATAATTCTGCATTTAAAGTTAATTATTTATCCCAGAGTTTCTTCTAGTGTTAAACCAGCGTGGTTGCTCCCAAAATTGCTCCTCAAACACCATATTGGTTAAATTGTTGCATCTGTGTGCATGTCTACATTCATCTCCCCTCATGTCTTGTCTGGGGTAACAGGATCCCACAGTGAATCTTTGTCAGCTCAGGGTTTTTGGGACACTTTTCTGGCTTTTATCAAACCCCAGAGAGCAGCTCTGTGAAGATCTGGGACACTTTTGATTTACAGATAATGGAAGAGACGGCCTGCAGGGCCTCATAAGTGCTTCTAGCCTGGCGACAGTTTTGACAAACATGGCTGTTCCCTTGACAAAGAAGTCCCCACTTTACTAAAGCTCTATAACCTTCTGGGATTCATCAAATTAGGGCTCTAAACACAGCAAGTCCTTCTAATGCAGTTTTTTTCACCCTTATTATCAATTCTGCTCACAGATCTTTCCTTAATGTTGTACATCAGAAAAAATAAAATTCTGGTATTCCTTCACTTGCTAGAGTGTACGTCCAGTATTCACTCTCTTTTAGCTCCACCAATGCCTAAGAAAAATATCTGGCTCTATAGCTGCTGAATTCTGAACTATGGCCACCAGCTAGTTGCAAACTTTGTCTGCCATTTGGTGCAGGACACGTAATGTACAATGGGATTGTTTTTTCTTAAAACAGCTACCTATTACGGCTGGAAACCAGTTTAATGAGAGCCAAAACAGTAAAGTTGGGGGTCCGTAAAACCAAAACAATGAGCTGAAAGATGCTAAAATGTCCAGTATAGCTGAGAGAAACTGCAGAATTGGGTAATAAGTCCCTGATTCATCACTACAATACACAGTAATTTGATCCATTGCTAATATAAAATATTGATTACAGCAGCTTTAACAATTTTTCTTTCAGGCAGTAAACATGACTTTTACAGCTGCAGCTCTGTCTGTGTGAACTGTACAGTACAGTGCAATGATAAATAAATAGGTGAAGTAACAGCTGGAGTCAGTCATTGTATATATTTCTGTGCAATGTCTTATAGCTACAAATAGATTCCGCGCAGGAATAGGGCAGCAGTTGTCCATCGACAGTGCAGTAAACAGTGAGACTTCGAAATGACTACATCTGTTAGTTATTATTCTGTGTTTGCGTTTAGGGTTACCAGGATATTAGAGACGTTTCTTATATTGGTTCTTCTTCATCCATCTCTGGGCTCGAGGAAGCAGTCTCACAAACTTGGCAGTAGACCCAGACTCCTAATTAGGATGATATAGATCATATGGTACGGAGTGGAAACTGTGCCAAAACACTATAGCCTGCACAAAACGTGCTTACAGTAAGTGGAACAGTAGATGAACAAAATTAGAAGAGAACAACTTGTCTTGTAATGCAGCAGACATTTTGACATTGAAAATGTGTTTGTGAAGATATATTTAAATTAATATATATTTCTATTAAACTTTGGTTTCCAAAGGTTGAACCTCAGCTTTTAAGCCAACATGGAAAAGAAGTCCTTTGAGTGCGGGAAATTTAAAATTCTGTGACAACTGCAAATTCGCTAGTTAAAATCACGTGAAGTGATTGAAATCTCTGGAACAGCTACAAAACAAGACTCATCTTGTGGTGTTTATAAGTGTTTTTACATGAATGAGTTCCTTTGGCTCTCAGATCATCTTCAAAATAAGTTGTTTTGGGTATAAAGTGCCTTTTAGCATTTTAGCAATACATCTATAAGAAGTTACTGAAAAACATTGCCATAATATGATGTGCTGTGCTTGTCTGGGTTGAATTTGGGTACATTTCCTTCTGTACTGTATGTATCCATAAAATTCCTAGTGGAAGTAACATTGAGCCACCCACAGTGCCATGCTAATGGAGGCAACAAGCTAATTCTCTGAATACAGGAAGACCGTGTAAGTGGAAAAAGGGCTACAAAAAGTAACGAGCAGAGATGAAGGCACAATAACAGAAAGGATTTTTTGATGTCTGATATACAGGACTTGAGAATGTTGCTTAATGAACGGAAACATCAGTAATTTTTGTTCAAATCAAAGTACAAAGAATTGTTTTACAAGGCTCCTCTGGTGCTCAGATGTGAAACTGGACTGGTTCATCTGGGGTTGTTTTTTTCTTGGAGGTAAATACTGCCCCCTTGTGGAAAAAGTATGAAACGCTTATACTGCAAAGGCTTTCTGCTGAGTGGTGTTAAATAATCTCTGTGCTGTATGTGTGTCAGTAGAACAGTTGGGTTTTCCTCAGGAGCAGTGAGACGAAACACAAATATAACGACATATCCAGGCTCACAAATGGCTGACTTTTCAAACAACACAATTCTCCACAACCAAATACAATTATTAAAAAATTATCTGCAGACATTTATTATGAAAATGATAATGATACAAGTTACTGATGAACAATAATGAGGTAAACCAGATCTGTATTGATGTGTGTTCAACAAAATGTGAGGGGACGGCCGACCGCCTGGTTGACCTTCTACCCAGATGCCACTTTTGCAGGGTTCGCATCATCCTGCAAATCACTCTGCCTGACCTTTAACATCACATGTCATCGGACACCGCCGCCACGGGATGGTCTGATTGGCTGAGATGGCTCAAAGTGATCAGGTGAGGCTGTGGTTGAAAGTAAATAAAGGTAATAGGAACCTATGGGCTAACCCTAAATTAAATTGTTTGTGTCATTACAAAATATTTAGGGTCCATCTTCATGTCTTTCATGATGAAAATATACAAAGAATTTAGTAACATCTTACCTCTGAATGTCTCTTTGTTCTATCAACTGTAGGGACAAAGAGATTCCATGATATTTATATTTCATACAAAGCAAGTCATTTTCTTCAATTTCCTAACTTTCATGTGATTTAGAATTAGATTTGAGAACCAGAAATTCAGATCACACATCTGAGAAGACACATTTAAGAGGAAGAATTGAGAAATGTAAGTTGTTCAATAGTAAATGGCTGTAATGTGATCACACAGTCCATAACCTCACCTGTGACGTTATCGTGGACCTGCTTCCTGATGCTGCAGACCTTCAAAATAATGAATCCAGCCACCAAGAACAGGCCGATCCCAACTCCGATCAAAACATACTTAATGTCTGGAGGGAAAACAACCAGCATGCGGCCATTAACAAACAAGATGCAACAGAACACGAGTTTGGGAAATGCCAGCTCCTGTTCAACCCTCCTGACACGTTCAACAGCGAAAGGGGGGAAGAAGAGAAGATGTTTGATTTCACAACTTGTTTACTGTGTGGAAGATTCAGTCATGGTATCATGCTCCTTTCCACAAATTTCATTGCGTAATCAGTGTTTGCAATGTGAATCCTGGACGTCTGAGAATCACTGATGGGGGTTACTGCTGGTCAGTCTGTGGGCCGACACTCTTAATGAGAGTTTGACTTCTTCAGAAAAATACTAGAAGTCGATTATACAAAATGCGCCACTGCAGAAGTCCTTTTTAAGAAGCATTTTCACTTAAACAAGAGTGATTGGAAAATTCAGTTCAGTCCAGCTGTTGTTGTTTACCATACAACAATGCCACAGTGTGACATTATGAAACATTCACAATAAAATATATTGACAGGTGTTCTGATATTAGAACTGCCAGTTGTACCTAATTCTTTGGGTGTATTTTAGCCAATTTAACGGCTGTTTTCTCAGCATTACTCTAGCTAGTTTTAACTTTTTCCACCTCTATTCCGTCCATACTCTGCCTGTGATCAGCTCTGACCCTGACATTAACTCTAGTTCTCGTGCCTAACCCTAACCAACCAGCTAGTGGGGAAACAAATCAAGTGTGTGTGGGTAGCAAAAAGAAGTTAGGGTACTCATATCATATGATACTCATCGACACCCCGATTTTGAATGATTCGTAGATTCACAAAAAAGTCAAATTATCCAGTTATTTACCAAAAAAGAGCAGATTAGAAGAAAGTGAAAGAGAAAGTGTAACTTTGTGCTTTCCTCTCCTGTAATCTTGCAACCCATTGTGGTGGTTTGGCTCCAAAGTTTGGAACAACTCAACATCAATATTCCTTAGGTTTGTCAGACATCACATTGATTAAGAGACCTCAAAACAAGACTGTTCATCTAAATGGCTAGATAATTAAGCTGAAATGACTCTAAAATGTAAAAAGACACAGAATTAAACAACAAACACAAGGTAATTTAAGTATTGTTGCTGAATGAATCTTTTAACAGGAGCTTCTACAGAAGCTGCCGCTGTATTATATGGCTCATACTCATTGACCAATTGGAAATTACATCAGATCTATCAATCCAACTGTTCTTCAGTGTAAACTGTTGACTCACCTGGCTTTTCTTCAGAGTCTGCACCATCTCCTCTCACACCCGTCAGCAGACACTCTGAAACACATTGTTTTCAGTGAATCATTATTCAGGTCACAAACAGGAAGAAGGTAAGACCACAGTGTATCAGATAAGGCCCAGGTCAGTGTGCAGCATCGGCACAATTCAGTGCACAAAAACAAAAGCACTCAGAAATCATGAAGCGCTCTCATGGACCTCCAGTATTCTTGT